TACAAGCTTTTAAAATATACTTCCTCAAGCATGATAGACAACTTCCTATGTTATAAAGCTTGCAGCCACAGAACATCCCCAAAGGGATCCAGAACAAAGCACTAGAAATCATGCAGTTAACCACGGAATACTACTGTAAAAGATAAGATGGCAGTATAACTTAACCACAGCGATTCTTCTGTTAAAGGAAAGGAGGACAGAGATAGTAGCTAAATAAGGTCGATTGCGGACACAAAATTAATAGTCTATAACATAGAAGGTAACTAAAAACTGATAGCCTAACTTAGAGCTGTAAAGATGGAAAGAAATCCTTTTAGACACTACAGTTATACTCAGTTTGTCCTCTGGGACTGCCCAAAACTACACAAAATCAGAAGATTCTATCTAAAAATCTCTCAAAACTCAGTATTTTATTTGAAGTAATCACACAAAGTTCTACCTCTCAAACTACAGGAAAGAGCTTGAAAATGTCACAAAAGTCTCATGACTCATAGCCAGAAGCTATGATATGATGAAAATATGATGAAATTAAAGCACCTCTTACTACTTTGACCATAACTTGTGAGTTTACACGTTCAGATTAGCAAAACTCAAGATGTATACATTTGAATTTTATTTGCCACGTTAAGGGACAGTGGGAGAAGAACTTCAAGAAAGTTTACAGCATAAGAGTTTTGCAAGTCTTTAAGAAAAAGCAAACAGAGAACACAAAAAGCCAGTCATAAGAACATCTGCGCTTTGTAAACAATCCTCACGGAAAAACAGTTTTCTGCTCCTTCATCTGTATCATCATCTCATCTCCCTCCCTATTTATGATTAGCTGATAAAGTTATATTCTAAGCTTACCAAAGTACACTTTTTTTTTTTTTTTTTGGTTTGTAGCACAGACTTCAACACACCTAGGATCACATCAATTTATTATGTTCTAACAAGATCAAATAGACTGTTAGGACCTGCAGCAGCGCTAACTGCATAGTGCTCTCATGCCAGTCCTTCTTGCATTAAGAGAATAAGAAAAAACAACAAAAAAAGGAATAGCACCACCACCCAAAATGGCTAGCAAATTTTCTAATCCCTGCACATATTAGGGTGTCTGCATTTTAAAAGAAAGCAATTCCTACACACAGTGAAGAAAAAAGTACAGTAAATGCATGACAGAACACATCCTATCTTGCAAACAATCCATGCTTTCTGTTTTTCATCAGCATTTAAACAGTGTATGCTTTAGACCAAAGAAATCCAAACATTTATATCTTTATATCCCTGTAAGGGAATTTTTCTCCTCTCACTACAAAATTCACACGCACCTAGCAACTGCAGCATAAGGTACCTCAAGGAAAGCCCATTGCAGAACTTTAATCTAAAATAGACACTGTTTCTTCCCTCTGCAGCGTATGGACCAGCAGCAATCTTTTGGTCAGTTTCTTCCTTTCAAAAAACCAATTCATTTAGCCCTCAATCAAAATTCAGTCACTTGGTCAGCATACAACACCACTCAGCTGCCTAGCTGGCCAGCAGGTGCTGGCTGGCTGGACAACTCAACAGCAGCAGCTAGCTGCTCAGGAGCACCTGGACACATTGAGAACACCTCCTCTGATACAAGCAAAATGCCTTGCTGCCCTTCATCATCATAGGACAGGTGATAATACTGGGCCAGACATACGTCATACAGAAATATGCCAAACCTTCTACCATGAAGCGACTAAACTGTTACTTTGCTTAGTTGTACAAACTTTTAATTCATGGCACTGGCAAAGAGGTAAGTCTGCATGCTGCAGTTACTACAAATCACCTGCAGAGAAGCAGGTGCTGCTCTGAGAGCTGATGTCCAACCCCAAATCAACAGGAAGGCATTGGGTAATCAGTACTGAGGTCAGCAGTGGTGATACAGGGTAGAAGTTAGAAGGGAGAAGGCCTGTAATCACAGAGAGCAGGATGGGGCCAGACAATTCTTGACAGTGAAGTTAAGGGGAGTAAACTGGGGCAGGGTAGAGCATGACTTTGGAAAGGCGACTTGGTAAAGATCTACTCACTCTCTTGACTGAGACAACCCCCACCCCTTGTTTTTCCCCAACTATCCCAACAATAAATAGTGCCTTCACAAATAATTCAAGCCCACGTAGGGTTTTGTTGTTGTTGTTGTTCATTTGCTTTTAATGCAGCTGCCCAACTAATGAGCACTTATAATAAAGCTTCCTGTTGCTACCTTGAAGTAACAAGTCTCATGAACCTTATAAATATAAGCTTGTTATATTCCCTTGCACAGCAAGACTGATTTAATTCACAGAAATAAACAACTTCCTTGTTTTAGAACACAAGTCTATTACCTACTGAACTGCTGATATTGTTGAGTTTTGGAGCCAGAGGTTGGTTTAAGTCTCAAATCAGTTCATATGTGAAATGGTGCCAAGCATTTTTAACATACACACACACGCACCCACACAAAAATCAAGTTTTCCCAAGTAGATCTTACAGTCCCCAATCCTTCCTAGTTCAGCTTTTGTATTCCCGGCTGGCAGGTAAAATATTTATCTACTTCCCTCAAAGCAATCTTAGCATGCTGTGGCAACTGATTACAGAGGAATGCAGGCACAGTGCCAACTTTGCTGCTTTATACTAAAACAGGAGCAAAAAGGAGAGGTTGTTTATAGTGGTGAGATCCAACAAATCTCTCCAGGTTCCCTCACCATTAAGCACTTCACAGGACAGCGGTAACAAGTAACACTTCCCAAAAGGCAAATTCCTCAAAACGTAATTTGGAAGGGCTGGGAGAGAAGAGGGAGTGCACTATAGCACCTTATCAAATCAGAACTATAATCACAGTACAGCCAGACTGAAAAAAGAGGACAAAAGTCCAGAATTATTGTTTTCTTTCCTTAGCGTTTCTTTCACAACCATGTAATAAACTAGAAGTGTATTTTAAAGGAAAGGCATCAAAACAAAACCTGGTTGAGAACACAGTACTATGTTCTGATTCTGCTGAGGACAAGTCAATCAACCAAAAGCAAGTATTTTGCCAAATCAATGTTCAGGTAAACAGCCAGTTTACCTGAAAACATCAGATTGTCATAAGAGTTTTAAAGGAGAAATTAAGTTGAAATCAATACTTCAAGCAATATTGTCAAGCTTACTTTGCTTTGGTAACTGATTTAGATTAGCTACTTTATTTTAAAAGCTATTAGCTAAACCTTTACATAGAGTCCTAATATTTAAGCTTATGCTGAGATTAGGAACAAAGATAATGACCTTTATTCTAGATTACCTACCCTATGTTACACCTCTGTAAAAATCACTCAGCTCAGTTTATTTAATCTTAATTGTTTTTCTAGTGCAAAATGTATCAGGTTGTGACCATGTAAGTGGTCTGCTCATCCACAAGAACTTTCTGAATGTGACATCAATATTTACATATGATGAACACGCTCAGTCTGCAGCTGATCTTTGGAACCAAAGTACAAACTCTGGCCTCTGCCATGTACACTTTTCTACTACTAATAAAATCTAGAATTTCACCTAAGCAAGTTAGTCTCTCAAAAAAAACATGAAGAGGGGAGAGAACACCTTTAGCATGTAACAGAGATTTATTAACTGTTAAATCCAGCCAAACTTCAGATATGTAAGGTATGTAACCTTCATCAGCGTTAAATTCAGGAAGCAGCTACAGCCCTTTTTGAAGCAATATGACAGGAACAGGAATCTTTTAAAAATAAAAGCCATATGCAAAACTAGTCAGAGTAAGTGGTAGCAGAGGTTTTTTAGGGATTGAATGCAGTTACAGGATGGCTGCCTATCCTGAGTTTGCAAACTAAAAGCAGCCACGAAACAACAAGAACCACAGCAACACGTTCGAAAAGGAAGGTTATGACAACTTCACAGTGCAGCACTGGCTGACAAGGCAGTTCCAAATCACGGGGAAAAAACAGAAAGAGAGAATGCCTCCTTGTCTAGTTCTTACCGCATTCATGAAAAAAAGAACTTTTCTTTCCATCGATCTTGGAAAGCACTAGATCAGACACCGTTCAGATGAAAAAATAAATCAGAATTGATAGGACTAATTGAATCAATGATTAACATAGGACTTGAAGAGTATAAGGGGTTCCAAAGAGAATAAGCAGATCAGTCATGAAACAAACTATGAGTAAAAGCATAATGCAATGGGTTGGAACAAAGTAAATAGTAACAAGAATATGAAAGCAATGCAGAAGTGGAGGAGGAAGAAATTATAGATTAGATAAGATAGCAGAGAGTGGTTATCTGCTATTGTTGAAACGATGATGAAAGTTTTTTCCTAATGAACTAGGAGATCAGAGCCAGAGAGAAAGGATTTAGGAAGGGCAACATACTTATGTGTACAGATCCCTACCAGCACCACTTAAAAATATATCTTTCATTAAATATAGACCATCAATTGCTGTGAAGCAGCTTAAGGAAAAAATCAATTCCCTAGGAGATTGTAGCTTGTTTTCCTAAATTTATGAGTCTAGACAGGTTATATCAGATCTCTCTTCATCAGTCCACTGATACCAAGTCTCAGGAATTCAGTGTTAAAATACAACTCCTGTTCCAAGGGCAGTAACGAAGGGATTAAAAATATTTACAAGCAAAAGAATTACATATCTTTTGGAATAACATTGATAGATAAATTAAAGGAAGAAAAGACAAAATTAACCTTGTCATATTACAGTCAACTGAGAAACCATTGAGGATGACAATTACTTAGGAGCAAAAAGCAGAGAACTGCTTATTTCTGTTGGTAAAACATGCGTTCTGAATTTTTGAAAAGTTTGTTTCGGCTCACCACTTTCCTCGGATAACTGTTTCCGGAAATCCAAACCTCAGAGCACCATTTGCTTCCAACGCCAGCAATTTTCTTACTCTGCAAGCTGAACCACAAACTAGGTTTTAACACTGAATCTAGCAATGAGTCTGGCTGTGCTAGGCCCCAGCAGCTTCACTCTGAAGTGAGCAGTTCAAGGAACTCCTGGCCGACCCTTTCATACCATTGAGCAGAACATCTATGCCATCAAACAGAAAACAGAAGTGCATCTACTGCATCCTCCTGCTGCACTGAAATTGAATGTGGAGAGCCAAAAAAAGTCTCACTAACCAAATAGTAACAATTCAATACTAGGGAACGAGGAGCACGTTCACAAACAATGACCAAAGGTGGTGTTTCCAAAACACCTGAGATATATACTAATTTAGAAAGTTTGCTCTGTCTTATTGCTGAAAAGAAATCTGATATGAATCCTGTGCATTCCCTGCTTGTTAGAAAATGGACTAACTGGCAATAATAAACATTTAGAACAGAGGCTTCCTTTATTTTAGGGCTAGCCTGTTTGGGGATCTTTTGTCCTCCCCCATTCTCCCCCAAGGAAAGCTGTCACCTCAATTATTATATTTCTAATTGTGCAGACAAGAGTTAATTATAATCTAACTATCAATACAGAAAGATGACAGCAATATCAGTGCTGGAAGCAGTGCTATATGTTTGCATATGGTCTGTGATGACTGTATTATGTCAGAAAGTCAGGGAAAAATAGGGAAAAAAAATCTATATTAAACATCTCTTCTCACAGGCAAACAGAATGGAAGCACCTTATTCCCAACTTAAGTGACAGGTCCTAAACTGGTTAGGTGCTAGGGGGAAAAATAAAAGTATACTTGATCTAGATGCAAAGAAAGAAGATATGAAATGATAAAAAGAAAAAAAAAACCCTAATCTATAGCAATAATATAGCAGGTAAAAAACAGAAGGCTTTTACTTTAGAGGAGCACTGATCAGGTTAACAATTGTTCCCTACTAAATGACTCTTAACAAGCTAGAACAACTGTGTTGGTTACCTCTCTCCCCTTCCCTTCCCCCATCCCCCAGAAAAAAGAAAGAGCCAGAGAACAGCAAAATTCAGACGTAACGGAGAAGGAGTCACTGTAAAAAAATATGCTTATAAAGTATTAGGCTTGGGCTGCAAAGTTGAGCATATGCAATAGTAGCCAGAAAGTTGCTAGCCAAACTCAATGCAAATCATAATGCAACCAACTAGTCCCTACACTTCAGTTGATATGCAAGTAAGCACATTAGTACACAAGATTTTGAATATTTGTGTTTTTAAGCATATTTTCCCATAAGGAGGCTTACAGGACTCTGTCATCTCCACTAAGAGCTATTGAAGTCCCAGTCTCTAAAGAGTGGGTTTAAAGTTTGATGTTTTCTGATGCATTATACACATTTCATTGATTACAGATCTCACCATGCCAACACAGACCTTAGCATTATTTTCTGAGCAACTACACCACAGAATTTCCTTGGCAAAATTTGAAATGCTAGGTAGCATACCGTTACAAGGGATGTTACAAGCTTACATTCATTTTTGAATGTTTTCTGCAATGAACTGTCTCACAAAAGCAAGAAAAGATTTGCAGTAGGAAGTCCAACCACTAAAGGTTGCCATTTTGAAGAAACCTGGTTAATAATAATAAAGTCATAAAACAAATCAGGCTTCGATCACTTCAAATCGTCTTGAAAGTATATATATGCGATTCATAAGTTTGTCTTAACACGCTCAGTTCATTTTGCAACATAAAGCCATGTACTCAGCCATAAAACCCTCTTCAGTTAGGCATTCAACCTTTGATTTACATATAAACAATGAAGAAAAAAAGTAGTTGGTACAGTTGGTCAACTGTTTTCTGGCTATCTTTGAAACACGGTTTTGAATAACAACCTGATAAAGCAGTGTTTAATCAAGCAAAATCCCCTATGAGGCAACCTGACTGAGAGCTCTTTCTTCACTTTGGACTCTGCTCTCATAGGCATAAAAATAATTACTAATACTAGCATTACGGCCGTCTCTCCAATACAGAACAGCGTCAAGTCCTATCGTAACAGTACCACTGAGCAGTGGTAAACATTTTCACTAGTGGACTAACTTATTTCCCACGTTTATTTTCAGCAGAACAAGATCTGGGCTATTTTAACAAGATTAATGTTATTGTTATAGGATTAAACTATCACCAATACTATAGAAAAACATGGCTATGCATGAATTAAATCACAGAATCATAAAAAAGTCTAGGCTGGAAGGGAATTCTGGAAACTACCTGATCCAACCTTTGTTGAAAGTAGGGCTTTAAATTAGGTTACCCAGGGTCCCATCAAGCCAAATCTTGAGCATTTCCACCGAGGGAGACTCCAACAAACCTCTGGGCAACCTATTCCAGTACTTAATTGTTTTTCAAGAAATCTGTGAAAAACATTCCAAACACATTAAGAGGAGTACATCGGTAGTTCAGTACACCAAGAAACAGACCCTCAAATCCAATATGCTATCCTAATTATCACGCTGTCAAATAACTCATACTCTAAGTATGAAGTGAAAACTGAAATTTTTGTATTGCAAGAATTATCCACCGCTAGAAGATTGTCATATCTTAACATCAACAACGCAGCAAGTACAACTATTAGAAGCTTATGTCTGCAGAACATTTATTTCACGTAACTACATTTTACTATATATACTTTACATCAACTACAATACCTCTAACTGCTCAAATTATTTGGATATTACTGAATATTTTAGTAACGTATTACTGACCTCTTTCAGTGTCTGCCTCTGCTACTGGTCACTCTGTCCTACCGAATGCTAAAGGCACACCAGGGTGATCACATACTACTAATCCCATCTCTTCCAGCATCTAGACTCACTTAGCTTTGTGCAATGCACAACTTCACAATGGATTAGTCATGCAAGTTTCTTTATTCAGGGCAGTCCGGTAAGTAGCAAGCATAACTCTGCACCGCTCCCTAAAAAGCGCACAGCATAACTGTCCAATAACTGGGATCCAGATATTTCAGTCTACAACTTTCCTTTATATTTAAATCAGTTACATGCTACATCCTTCACTGGTATCCTGCCATTTTGTGACTATCATGCATTTCATAATTGGTTAATTATTTTATATGCATAATAAGCAAACGTGCAAGTTCCAGAAATCAGCAGAATCAAAAACTCAGCACATGGCGTATATCTTTAAATGCCCTTTTTGGGCATTTTCTAGTCTGCTCATTCTCCTTCGTGCAGCACTTATATAAACCTCAGCTGGCCAAGGCACTCACTGTGCTTAGGGGCCTACTAGCATGACCTTTAAGTCAGGTATCTAGTTTCTCATTTGCTCAGCTAGAATGAGATCAGAATTTGGATTTTGAGCCTTCATGTCACTGCCTCAAGCTATAGCTTTGTATAATAAACCCACAGCTATAACTGCGTTCCAGGGATGACCACACACCTCAAATCATTCAAAAATTAGCCTATTCATGCGTTACCAGGTATATATTACTACCAGCAAGACACATTTTTAACCTCTTTTAACAACAAACCAAGCTAAAGTAGATCTTCAATTCTAAAACCGATGAAATTTGAAAGAGAACAAAAATATGCATCAATCTTCACAAACATGGCTAGGTGCAACACTGAATAGAACAAAGATCATTACTCCTGAAAAGAAATTCAGGAAAGAAAGGTGGTGAACACAATGGAAACTTATTGGTCTCTGAACAACAACTAGCAAAGCTGGCTTTCCTGCAGGTTTTTGCTTTACAGTCCTAAGCTGCCATCTCTCCAAACCTGAGCTGCTCTTCTCTATTGCTCCCTGATGCCAAGCCTTTGACTCTCCAAAACGTTTCAGTACCCGCCCCCCGCCACAGCCATACATCAGGGTAGGTAGAGTGAGGCAACACTGGTAGTGGCTGAGTTCAAGTCAGGCACCTGCTCAGTCATTACCCTGCAGGCAAATTGAGTAGCTGCTGAGCCTCAAACTACAGACCTTTCCTGACTGAGGCTCCAATCCAGAGCCTCTTCTACACTATTTTCTTTCCTATACAATTTTTCATTTAATTCATAGTGAGCTTACTGTCTTTAGATCTAGATCTAAGTTTTTATAAAACTTGCTGAAACTAACAAACAGATTTAGAGAGTAAGGGAGGAGGAACGAACAACAAACATGCTCTTAAGACAACAAAATCGATCCAGGAGGTTAACGAATGATCCAAAGTTGTTGCGGGTCACCTGACAGCACATTAAAATTAAATGTACTGAAGAAACTGAAACTTTCACCTTGCTTATTCGTCAGGCATCAGATTGCCAAAAGGGATCTCAATGGATGGAAAAGAAGGAGAACAACAAACCTAGACTCATCACACTGTCCGGCCTTATCTGCTGGCGAGAAGCACATCCTCTCATCACCTTGAAGTTGCCATCTGATCGAGCCAGTAAAACAGGCTTTCTTTTTCTTTCCCCTCCCCTCCTCGTGCTAAGAGTTCAACTTTACTTTGTAATGTACAGCAAATTGTTGTAAAGCTAGTTTTTCTCCTCAATGCCAGAAAGAAGAGCAAATGAGCTTCAATGGAGGATGTGAGCCATATATAACCAGGAAAGGCTGTTACACAATTCTAGGTATATATCTGACAATTTAAAAACATTAATATGCATACAATTGACCTAGTACTGTTAACAAGTTTTTCAGAGCTTCTTAACATATGGCCCAAAATCTACTTTTGTACTGAAAAGGTCATAATGATCGGCATGCTATCTTTGTCCTAGAAGTTATTTTACTAAACTAGGAAATGGAAGAGAAGAAACTGAATTTGACATTTTAAGTTAATTTTCTGTTTACAAATGTTTGGGGGAAGAGGAAAAGTGGGTAGGAGATGGAAGGAGCAGGGAAGCACACAGGACAAAACAAAAATTACTTTTGCCTTCGGTAAACAAATGGGCACTTAGTATACTAAACAATATGCTGATTTCTCTCTTTCATCCCAGCTTAATACATACATTTGTCTTTTGCTTCCATCTTTGACACCCAAAAGAGAAGTATTTTTAAAAGTTTTCTTATGCTTGGAAAGATTTATTTTCTAGGCAACTAAAAAAACATATGCAGAACAACCTAGCATAAAACATGTCACTCTTTTTAAATAAGCCAAATGCCATAACATACACAAGTTAACAAGTAACAGGGTTTGTAATTGACAATTTTAACAAA